CCCCCCCCCCCCTTTTTTTTTGAGACAAGCTCTTGCTATATAATTCACGTTGGCCTCAAACTCAATATATAGTCCAGGCTGGCCTGAAACTCACAGCAATCCCCCTGCCTCCGCCTCCAAGTGCTGAGATTACAGGGTGTGCCACGCCTGGGCCTGAGTGGGGCATTTTGAAAAATGACAACTGAGACTTCTCTGTGGTCTCCAACATATATGCCAGAATCTAGAAACTCAAAAGCGAACATGACAGACTGGTCCCTACCTTTGAGGATTCCAAGTCCTGTGGAGTAAGGGGACTATGAAGGGGTGCACACAACACATCTTGAGATGTGCATCAAGGGGAGCCCACAGATGAGCAGCTGTTTGTTAGGGATGTCAAGCTTTGAACTAGATTTGTTAATTTTAAGTTAAATCCCTTCTGTGTGTGTAAAAGAGAGAGAGAGCCAGAGAGAGAGAGGGAGAGAGGGAGAGAGAGAGAGAGAGAGAGAGAGAGAGAGAGAGAGAGAGAGAATGTGGCCCCTAGCTGAGAGAGGAGAAAAAAAAAGTGCACACATACGGATGTGTCGAATTTTGTGCTCAATTTTACAGATTCACAGGCACACAGCAGCTCATCTGGACTTCCTTAGCAGTTTACAAGTTACACAAACCCTATTCAGGGAATGTGAGAGGGCAGCGTGCATACAGTATTATGGGAGCAGATTCGAGGCTGGGCTGTGCAACTATGGGGGTTAGGGAGGGTCTCAAAGTATTGGAAAACATGCCCCTTCATTTGACACCCGAGAGAGCCACGACCTCAGGAGGCCCACCGGAAGGCCACTCTTTGGAAAGTGGGGAGCTATCCCCAAAAGAACAGGAGGCGTTAAGCACCTCCCTCCCATGTGTTGGAGGTGCTCTCAGTTCCTAGGATGCTGACTTAGAAGTACTTTAGGTCTTGACACCTTTGGAATTCGTGATTCGCATCTACTCCCACACGTGAAAAGTCCAACTGCGCGAAAGCCAGGGACTCTAACGACTTCCACCCGGCCGGAAACGACTGCACTTGCGCAGTTGGGCTCCAATCCCGGTTTTCCCATGAGCCCTTGGGGCAGGCACTAACCAAGGAAGAGACCGCCCTTGGCTTCCGGCAACAGGCTCGCGGGGGGCCGTGTGACCCGGAAGTGTTCCCATTTTGCGTCGTCGGGGCTCCGCGGCGGCCGGGCTCCAGGCGTACGTACCACAATGGGGTCCTCAAAGAAGCACCGCGGAGAAAAAGAGGCAGCCGGAACTACTGCTGCGGCCAGCACCGGGAGCTCCGCTGAGCAGGCGCCGCGGCATCGGGAGCACAAAAAACACAAGCATCGGAGTGGCGGCGGCGGGGGCAGCGGCGGTGAACGACGGAAGCGGAGCCGGGAACGGGGGAGCGAACGCGGGAGTGGGCGGCGAGGGGCAGAAGCCGAAGCCCGTAGCGGCGCGCACGGGCGAGAACGCAGCCAGGCCGAGCCCTCCGAGCGGCGAGTGAAGCGGGAAAAACGCGATGATGGCTACGAGGCCGGTAAGGGGCCGGGTCTGTGCAGGGGTGGCGCGGGGCGGTGGTCGGGGTGCTCGGCCCCGAGTGTGCAGAGGCAGGTCCCCTGGGCTCTCCAGCCACAGGTTCCTCCAACGCTTAAAGGCTCTTCCCTTGATTGTTTTGGGTTAAACATTGGCATCACACAGGCCCTCAGTAAATATTGGGTAAGTGAAGAGGTGTCAGTCAGTGTGTGCAGAGGCGAGAGAACTCCTGGCACGGTGGTGCAGAGCAATAATTCCAGCCCTCCGGGAGATCGAGGCAGGAAGATTGCAAATTTTTGATCAGCCTGGGCTACTTAGTATCTTAGCGAGAATGTGTCTCAGAAGGTGGGGAGGCTCTGAAGGTGTCAGTGTGTGGAAAGCTCTATCCCCAGTGCCAGAAAAACAAATTAAGAGAAAACTAGTTATTGGGCAAGTCGCGTACTACTTACTTGAGATAGTAAGGTAGGCTGGGGGCTGAACCCAAGGACCCTATACTGTATTGTAGGCCCTGTTGAATTTGGACATTGTTTCACGGTGGTAGGGAGTTACAGATTTGAGTTGGGGAGTGAGTTGATCAGATTGATATTTTGTAAAAAAAAAAAAAAAGTTACTGCATTTAATAGTCAAAGGTACTGCATTTAATAGTCAAAGGTAAGACTGGAGGTAGTCAAATGGCTGTAAAGCAATCAGGTGAGGGTTGATGGTGGCCTGCACTAAGGCAGCATCATAGGCTGGAGAGAAGTGGGCAGCCTGAAGACGTGTTGTGGAGGAGGACTGAACAAAATTTAGCGTTTGGATAGGAAATGGAGAAAAAAAATTACATTTTGGGGTGAGCAGTTAGATGAATGGTGGTGACATCTGTTGAAATTGAGGATTTTGGAAGAGAAGAGTTGAAGCAGGAGAAAGATAATGCATTAAGTTTTGGAGAGTATTGAGGTGGTTGTGTGTGGAGAAATTCGGGATTGGGGCTGGATAGAGTGATTTTTGGATTTGTAAGTATTTAGATGACCAAGGAAGCTTTCTGAGTGTGGAGTGAGAAGTCAGGGTAAGAGATACAACCTGAGAGATGCCAGTAGTTTAGTAGTGGCAGATGAAGATGCTACAAAAAAGGAGGTTGAGTAGCCAGAAAGGAAAAGTGGAAGCTCATGGTCATGGGGTCTGTGGGTAGAGAATATTGATAGGGGGGTGACATCAGGAGACATCAAAGAGACCAGAACTGAAAAGATAGGGCTGGCCAAATAGCTCAGCAGACTAAAGCGCCTGCCTAAGGGACCAGGCTCGATCCCTGGTGGCCATATGGGTGGCATGCGCCTGTAATCCCAGCTCTTGGGGAGGCTGAAAACAGGAGGATCAGTATGAGTCGATCTGTGGAGTGAGACCCTGTAGACCCTGTACTAAATACATTTAAAAAAAGAAAGAAAGAAAGAAAGAAAGAAAGAAAAATCCATAGGATTTAGAGCTAAAGAGGTAAGTGACCGGGCTGGTGAGATGGCTCAGTGGTCTAAAACACCTACTTAGAACAAGCTTAGCAAAGCACAGGGACCACAGTTCAATCCCCCAGCACCACATGCCAGCCAGCCCCGCCCCCTGGTGGGCTGAGCTGGCCACACACACACAAATAAATAAATAAAAT